CACACATGCAAACAGTCAACTCACGGCAACCTGCCTTGTGTAGCCAATAGCTGATTGTCTTCTTCTATTAGATGGAACAATCTTAGTGTTTGTGATTACAGTATATCTTTCAGCCTTGACCGCATGACGTTCACAGCTGAGGGGACGAGGGTGACAACGCTGCCCCCTGCGCCATGGAGGGGTTGGAGGTCCTGTCTGTTCATCTAGAAATGGGTTACTCTATGCGAGAGATAGGGGAACAGGCTTCATCGAAAAGTACTTGAGAGGTAAGCAAATAAGCGATCGCGGATAATGTAGCAGCCTTTGACAATCTTTGAACACTGACAATGTAAATGAGTTAACGACACGGTGAAGCACTTAGTGTCAAATGCCACCTCAACCATCCCAAGAGGCCCCATCTGCCGCCCGACACTTATGTGCTGGACGATTGGGCAGAGAAGTACACCGTAAAATTCCGGGGACTATACATACGCAGTATTATCCAACCAGCCAGACTAAGCTACAGATGTTTACTGAGCCGAATTTTTTGAACTTGCCAAGGACCGCAGCACACGGTTTTCGATTGGACCCGTCAAGGCCGTTGACGCCAACGAGTGGAGGCAAAGACTAGGAGCTTTATTCGTCAGTCCTTCAGATTATAAAAGATAGAACAACCACTTGTGAGTAAGTTCCAGTGTTTACATCCACCGGGAGCGAAATTCGGTAAAAGTAGAGAATGAACTTCATAAAAATACTCCTACCAGCGTTCAAATAAAGTCAAAAAGTGCGGACTCACGGGAATGCATGAAAGCCAAGTGATATACCAGAGAACATTCCTGAGTGAATTCCTTGTTGCACACTTCACAACGATGAACTTTGGTAACTGGGGAAGAAAAATACCAAAAGTCAGGTAGGTTGCTTTACAAGCTGCTAGACCAACTACGATAAAAGTTTACTCCCTGCCTCTGCAGATAACGGTTGCCCATTTAGGTTGGGTCTGCTACTCAGGGAGCGCGGTTTCGCTTGATAAGCTCACCTACATCAATTTAAACTCCGTGACTTCCCGTACAGTGATCAGGCGACTGATTAGCTGCGAGTTAAGACCACAGAGGAGTACAGCGTTCCGAACTGAACTGGCTAATGAACACCGTCATTGGCCTTATCTCCCGGGGGTAAGCCTCCATCCCTACCGACCACAAGTGGTTTAAAAGACCGCAGCGCTATGGATTAGAATGGCTGGCCGAAATTAAAAGGCATCGATAATAGTTGAACGGCCGGTTTTTCGTACGTGGACAGTGTTGGGCCCAGCGCTTTCCACAGTCAGACTATCACAATGGCCACGTCGTCTGCAAAGTAATTGGGACATGTCCAGTGTCGGTCGGACGGAGTAAGTAACCTCACCCTTTGACGCCGCAAGCTGCGATCAACGCAAATGTTCACCCCGGTGACCATAGAAAGTTGTCAAGCTGGTCATTATTGCTATGGTTGACTGAACACGAAAGAACCTGACCACTGGATAGGGTATTTATTATCTCTCAGGCCATCGTTAGTACAGTGGAGCCAATATAAACAAACTAATCAGTCATCTAGTTACTCCAGCTGTCACGAAATTCCCATACAAAAGGGTCGTTTACGCTACTATATGTGCAGAGAAAATGAGAGGAGATGGTATGCCTTTGAGCAGAGTTACCGAGAACTGATCCCCACATCGACCTCTCCTCAAACGGGACCAATACCTTAATTCGTTTTGAAGCCGCCCAAGAAGGGTATTTGAAGTGGTTCGAGCACTCCTGTCTTCCCTCCCACGGGTTCAATGCAGTTGTCCAGAACTTAATGACAAGTCAATAAATGGTAAGCCGGCTCAGTACAGTCAGTCATGACTTCGGAAGAGGAGGGTTTAAGCTTACCGCATCGGCGGTCCTAACCGACAATTCGACTGTCGATGCTGTCCACTGTATGTCCCAAACAGGTTGGTGGAGGAACGGTAAATTGCGCGTGATTTAGTTTTAGATGATAGTAGACTTGCATTGCATCTACCTCACTCTCTCTTTCCTCACTCACCTGAAGCTGGTGTCAAGAAGACCGGAGGTGGGATCAGAAGCTAGTTGCTGGCGTGCCACCACACCTACCTATGTTCGACAGGGGCGGTGACTGGCGCGTGGACTACTTTTAAGTGGTAGTAGACTTTCGCGGCATCTACCGCACTCTCTCTTCCCCCTCCATCTGAGTTCGGTTTCGAGACCCAGTCAAGAAGACCGGAGGTGGGATCGGACGCCAGTCGCTGGCGATGCCGAAGCCGCCCCTATGCGTGCCACCAAACTTAGCCATGTTTGACATTTGTTAGGGGAGTACAACTCGAGTAACGTCCGCCGTACCCTGATATGGTTCCCGTGTTGGTTCAGCGCATCTATCACGCAGGCCATTTGGGGGGTCTACAACCGAACACGCACACACACATTGAAGCATTGTGTGAAGAACATCACGGTGTAGCTAAGCATGACGGCAACCGGGTCAATAATAAATTGGTTGTAGGTGGGAAACAGACTCACTTGGATGCTGCGAACGGACATGTGCCCGGAGGCGCCGTAAGGAACCACAGTCCTCACCACACATATCGCAAACAGTCGGCTCCTTGACCTCTGAATGGGTAGAAAAAGCTCACGCTTAGACATGATGATGGTGATAGGTGGCAAGAGTAAGTATACTAATAGACGCAAAACTTACTTGGGTGCTGGCAACGAAGGTGTTTTCGCAGAACTCTGAAGGAAGCGCAGTCTTCACCACAAATTTTACAGGTCATCTTCTGATCAGGTGAGGTGGCTGAAACGGCAGAGAAAGCGGAAGAGACATAGTAATACACCTAGAACAGAAAATCACAGAGAGAATGGACAGGAGATGATAAATGAACTGACAAACCTTTAGTGCACCCGGAGGGTTCATCTTCCCCTTTACCGGGCAGAATTTTCTTTAATTTCAGTCGTATTGACTTGCGATTGGGGCTACGATCAACGACCTTATAATGACCATAGTCAGAAGGGGGGTCTGAATCCATTTTGACGCGAGTCTGAACTTCTAATACGTCTTCCTTAAAAGATCAGGACATAAAAAATCAGTGAAATGCCTTAGACTAGCAAAAAACACCATCGACTGACTCAGAACACGGTTCGACAACTGTAGGCTTCAGAGTCAAGTTGCACTAAACCGCTTCCTGAGTGATGAACCAAGCAAGTAATAATAAGAAATGACGGTGGCTGATTGAAGGTTTTAGGGGTTTTCGAATGCAGCAAGCCTAGGCCGAGGAGCTGGAGAGTTGACCACCGGCGAGTACGCATCCAGATGACGTGTGGAGAAAGGAGACGAGTTGACATAAACAGACAGAGAGCAGTTTCATGATTGCTAGACATCAGCGGTCGGATTCATTGCGCTATCAAGTAGGATCTTAGAAAAGTCCTAGACAGTACAGCCATAAGGAGACTGCTTTGCGCTATGAGCAGTCAGGAACCCGAGACATTGTGATACACTCGGTCACCATGTCAAGATCTCTTATATCTCAAATCTCAATATCTGAGCCACTAAGAATGAAGTAGACGAAAATGTAATAGGAAGTTAAGGACATCGGCCAGAAGGCGACAGGAAAAGTAGGGACGGGAATTAACAAAAATCATCAAACTTTTATTTTTATTAATTCTCGCCCCTACTTTTCCTCAACTAGGAAAGTTGACGGGGCGAATGAACCAACAATGAGCATTCCAGTTCCTAACACATTTGTCAATTGTACACAAATTTATAGAGGACAGGGGCCAATCAAGCACCAGTGAAACCAGGCCAGGTGTGAGCATGCAGGAAAACTGAAGTCTGGGCCTCCGATGAGAACTCAGTCAATCGACTTATCGATCTGGCGCCGGCAGACAGAGCCCTGCGCAGTCACCTTCAGATTGGCTTAACTGTCCAAGCTTTACCGTGAAGTAACCTTCGGTCTGACCCTCAAACTCGGGTCGCTGACGCAAGTATCTCATTTCCGTTGTCCAGAGTCTCAGCTACTCCACT